AACTTGAAGAGGGCAGGGCCCGTGCCTGCCAGGCTGAGGGTTAATTAGCCTTCATCGAGGGGGCACCTCCTTCCTCCCCTCCCCCTCCCCCTGAGGCCCAGGAAGGAAAAGGGAGGCGGGCAGGCAGGCGGACCCACCCCAGCGCACACAGAACCACCGTAGCGCCTGCTCTGCAGGCTCCAGGAGGTCTCATCCTCCCCCGCCTCCCCCACCTCCCCTGGTTAGGGGTGAGGGGCACTCAGCTGACACAGGGTGCTCAGCCAGGGAGGAGTAGATGGAACAACCTGTCCCTTTAGCTGAGCTGCACGCCCTTCAGGCTCCAGGCTCCTCCTCCTGGAAGCCCTCCTAGATTGATGCTTCCTCTGGGCTCCCTGAGCCCAGCCCTTAGCACAGGTGACAGGCTCATCTGCTTTTTTGCTCAATTCTGATCAGGGCAGTGACCAGGGCCCACTCATTATAGAGTCTGGGTTCCTAGCACAGCGCCCCCTCACTCGGGGGGGGGGGGGCTCCTAGCACAGTGCCCCTGTGCTCCGGGGAGCTCTTGTTGAAGAGCTTGTGGAATGAACAGGTGAAGCGTGGCTGCGTGGAGGGGCCTTGCGTGGATGGGAGCTGGTGCAGGTGGCGGGGAGGGCTCCTCGGCTGGGGCAGGTTTGGGAGGGTTTGGAGTGGGCAGCCGGGGAGGGGAGGGGAGGGGGAGGAAGGGCTCCTGATGATGCCGCTGCCGCCGCAGGCTGGTCATCGTGGTGTTGATCGGCGTGAGCGTGGCCTGGATCCCGGTCCTGCAGGGTGCCAACAGCGGGCAGCTCTTCATCTACATGCAGTCGGTGACCAGCTCCCTGGCCCCCCCGGTGACCGCTGTCTTCATCCTGGGCGTCTTCTGGCAGCGAGCCAACGAGCAGGTGGGTGCGGAGGAGAGCTGGGTGGGGACAGGCCTGGGCCGGCTCCTCGGTCCCCTCTGGATGGGCTGCCACTGGCTCGAATCGTCCCCTTGGCCTTCGTCCAGCAGCCCAGCTGTCCTGCCTCCCCCAGGGGGCCTTCTGGGGCCTGATGGTGGGGCTGGCGGTGGGCGCCACGAGGCTGGTCCTGGAGTTCCTGCACCCCGCCCTGCCCTGCGGCGCCGTGGACACTCGGCCTGCCGTCCTGGGCAGCATCCACTACCTGCACTTCGCCATTGCCCTCTTCGCACTCAGCGGGGCCGTGGTGGTGGCCGGAAGCCTGCTGACGCCCCCACCCCCAGGGGCTCAGGTAAGCCTGCCCTGACCCCGGGCTCTGACCCTTACCAACTTCTGACTCAGGTCCCAATTCTCTGACTCAAGAATTTTCTAGCTCTTGACCTAGCCCTGGCCCCTGGCCCTTTTTGAACTCAGCTGCCCTCTTTCATCACTGACCCCTGATCCTGTCTGGGTCCACCTCCCAGCCCCACACCCCTCCCCGTCCTGCCACCCTACCCCTCCCATTCCCTGCAGATCCAGAACCTTACCTGGTGGACTCTAGGGAGGGACCTGCCCCCAGGAGCCAAAACAGGTACGCACGTGACCCTGGGCATCCCTCTCACACCGTCCTCGGGGCTGGGCTACGGAGCACAGGGCCCTGGGGGTGGCCCTGAGATCCTCAGCGTCCCTCTCTTCCCACCCAGCTGGCAGCCGGAAACAGGCTTTCTGGGCCCGGGTCTGTGGCCTCAACGCCATCCTCCTCATGTGCGTCAACATCTTCTTCTACGCCTACTTCGCCTGATGTGGCCCGGCCCCGAGGCTGCCCCTTTCCCTAATGAGGACACCAGCCCTCGAGGCTGCCCGGCCAGCAAGGCGGGAGCCTGAAAAATTAGGGAGGGAATGGGCAAAAAGAATGTGACACTTCAAAAGTGGCATCATGATGGGCAATAAAAGGTGATTTCAGAGGACATTCCTACACTGTTACTGTCTTTATTTTGCGTACGTGGGTCCAGGGCAGGAGCAGCACAGTCGCCAGAGCTCAGGGTCCGGAGGGCCCCAGGCCCCCCTGGGTGGAGGGAGAGCCCCCCACTGTCCCATCTGCTCCCAGTGCTATAGGGCCCCCCTTCTCACTGCCCCCCACCCAGCCTGGCATTCCAGCTGCTTCTGAGTTCCCCTCTCTTCCTGCTCCCAAAGGTGCCCAGACTCGGGGCAGGCACTGCCTAGTGACCCCCTGCTGGGTGTGCGTTCCATTCTCAAACTGGGGCTCCCCCCAGACTGCCCCCCATGCTGCTGGGCTTCAGAGTCCAGCCCAGGCCCAGCTCCCCTGGCCCGCAGGTCCTCCTGGCTCCCGGGGCCTGGGCAGAGCCTCCTCGCCCCCCAGGCCTTGTCCATTTTGAGGAGCAGCTGCCCCTTGCCTTCTCCACGGTGCCCTCAGGGCCCGGCCGCCGGTGTCAGGGGCCCAGGTGGACGCTGGAGAAGCTGATCTCCACCTGGATCTGTCCAGTGAGCCCAGGCCATCAGGTGGGCAGCGCCCTCGCCTTCCCTTCCCTCGAAGTCACCTCCCCAATAGCCAGACACCTCAGGGTCCTTTTGAGGGAGGGGCGGGTGAGCCCGGTGGGTGGGGCCACTGACGGTGGAGTGGGCTGAGCCTCTGTCAGCCCACCCTAGGGTGTCACAATGCTGGTGACCAGTGGGAAGAGGCTGTGGGAACCCCGGGAGCGCCCCTTGCCCGGCGGGCACTGCACATGGTGTTGGCTGTGGGCACGGGGCAGCCCCGGTTCATGTGGAGCAGAGGGCTGGGCTGGGCCGTCAGAGGCCGTGTCCCTACCGAGGCCTGGGCCGAGCCCCGGGGGCCCGGAGGGGCGTCCATGGTCTCTCTCTGGACTTCAGCGTCCTGTGGACAGATGGTCTGCTGGCTCGGCCCCCAGCCCCGCTCCGGTCAGAGGTGCACGGGCTGGACGTAGCTCCGGGGGAAGAAACCCACCTGCCCGCAGAACCGGCCTCGCCACCAGTGCGGGTCCAGGTGCTCCAGGACCTCGATGATGTCACCGCGGCGGAAGCTGAGCTGGGAGGGGTCCTGGGCCGAGAAGTCAAACTGGGCCTGGGCGAAGCCGGTCCGCGGCGGCTGCAAGCAGAGCGGGTGTCAGTGGGGCCTCGGAGGCCGGACAAGAGAGGGGATTTGCCGCCGGTTGGGAAGGGCAATGTTTTCGAGGCAGAATTGAGGTCAAGGTGATGGCCACCCACCCGCATGGGCCTCCTGCTGCCCGCGCCCCCTCCCCCCCTCCACGGCCGCCACACAGACACTGCCTCTCCTGAGAGCCGGCGCTGTCCTGGGCTCTGCTGGGACCGGGTCCTGGCCTCAGTGAGGGGCTGTGGCTCAGGCCCTGCCTGTTCAGGGTCTCAGTTCCCTGGCTGTGCCACGGCCGTGATAACTGGACTCCAGGCCCCGAGACCACCAGGGTCTCACACAGACCGTGGCGTGACGTGTGGCCACAGTCCACTGCTGTTGCCTTGGCCAGGCTCTGGAGCGAAGGGCCTGGCTTCCAGTCCTAGCTGTGCCCCAAAGGGACCTTGGTTAAGTCCCTGCCCTTGTGGGACTCAGTTTCCCCGCCACCTTCGGATGGCGCTGGACTAGAGCTCTCAGCCCGACATCAGGACACCTCCTCCCAGCACCGGCTCTGCTGAGCAGGAGATAGGATCGGGCACCGGCTGTAATTAGCAGTTCTCTGCCCAGGAAGGAGGAGGCGGCCTGGGTCCCGAGAGACCGAGCCAGCTCTGGAATCTCCCCACAGGGTAGGCGATCCCAGGGCTGGGCCCAGGGAAGTGGTGGGTGTGGGGGAGCTCACAATGGGCCCCCAGTTCCATGCTGGCTCCCTCACACTCTTCAGGGTCAGAGCTGGCCCAGGCAGCGAGGGGGAGGGATGAAGGTCTGGGGTACAGAGGCCCAGAGGAGGCTCACGGCTGATCTGACCCAGGTCAGGCTGCGGAGGCAGAGCCTCCCGGTGGGACAGGGAGGCCCGAGGGGGTGTAGGGGGCTGTGTCCGAGGCACTGCTGACGCCCTGGAATATCAGATCCCAGGGCACATCCTATGGGACAGAGGGCACACTGAGGCCCAGGGGAGGGATAACCTGGCCCTGAAGTCGTGCTGGACGAGGCAGCTGGGGCCCAGGGAGAGGCTGGACGGGCTTCCCTCAGCCTCCCTCAGCCTCCTCCCTCTGCAGAGCCCGGGCTGTCTCGGGGTCCTGCCTGGCCGACCCCCCTTCCAAGGAAAAGAGCACATCGAGAATAATAACCCCATTAGCAGGTGTCGTCATCCTAATGAGAGCTGGCCCTCGAGCCCTGATGAAAGGCTGGCTGGCAAATTGCTGTTCTTGCGAGGACACAGGGTGGCCAACCTCCCCCACACACACCGTGTCTGGCCAGGATCTCGCCCACGCTGCCCACACCCCACCCAAGGCCAGCGCCTCTGGGGCAGGAAGCAGGACTGAGCCACCGGCTGGTGGCCTGGGGTGAGTCACATCACTCTCCTTCCTCAGCTGCCTCCCCTGCACGACGGGGACAGTGAAGCTCCCGTGCAGAGCCCAGTCCAGCACGTGGCACTCAGAAGGCTCAGTAGGTGTCAGTGCCTTCAGCCATTCAACATTTATTGAGCACCTACTGTGTGCCATGCACTACTGACAACAAGCCCGACCGTTTGCCCCAGGGAATAGCCAGTTGGTTCCTTCCTTTTCTCCCCCTCTCCTTCCCAGCCTTGCTTATTTCCCTGCAGCGACACCAGCATAGACCCTCACAACATGGCCGGACCCCCTCCCACGCGGGGAGCTGGCGGGCCTGGCCCCAGCAGGTGTCGTGGCCCCTGCACACAGCAGGGCGCCCGCCCGGCCTTGCCCACCTACCTGGAGTGGGGGCTCCTCATCCCGCAGGAAGACCTGGCGCTTCTTGGCGATGGTGGTGGTGCGGTAGAAGTCGACCAGCTCGTTGAGGGAGTTGAACTTCTCCTCCCACAGGAAGTACTTGCCCGAGGCTTCACGCAGCACCTTGAAGTGCTGCACCTGGTCCCCGTAGCTGGAGGGGAGGACCCATGGTCACCTGGGATGGGCCCATGGACAGGGACCACTCCAGCCCAGCCCTGGTCTCCCCTTCTCGCTCTGGGACCAGCCTTTCTCTTTCCGGGTGAGACCTGGGCTCAGAAGGGCAGGAGGGAGGGCAGGACAGGCCTCCCGCCCAGGCTCCATGTGAGACCTCGTGAGCACCCCTGGCCGCTAAGGGGTGGACCCTGGGCCAGGCACTTCCTTGCGGTGTGACTTTAGGCAAATCACTTCTCTGAACCTCAGTTTCCTCACAACGCCTCCTCCCTCTGTTCAGCGCTCAGAAAATGCCGACTGTGGCTCATGGCAACACGAAACAGGTTTCTCTGAGTGCATTTTCTCTCTGTTTGTTAATCCTCACCTGAGGATAGTTTTTCTGTGGATTTTAAGAGAGAGTGGGAGGGAGGCTAGAGACAGAAACATCGATGTGAGAGACACATCGATTGGTTGCCTCCAGAATGCACCCCGACCTGGGCTGGAGATTGAGCATGCAACCGAGGTACATGCTCTTGACTGGAATCGAACCCGTGCTCCGGCGCTCTACCCACCGCGCCCCTCGGGTCGCTAGGGCCATTTCCTCTCTTTAACACCCCCCTCAGCCTTCCCTTCTCCTCCCGCTGCGTCCCCTCCCGGCTCTTGCAGTCACTTGAGGAGCAAGTCCTCAGGCCCCCTGACTCAGGCCTATGCCTGTGGGTGGGAGGGGAGCTTACACACGTTGGATGCTTCTGTCCCTCCCACCCACACCCACCTCGAGGACCTTCTATGGAATATATGAGTGTGCCGACAGCAGATTTGACTTTGGGTGGTGGGCACACGGTGCAATATACAGATCTTTGTAACATAGAAACCTGCCCCTAAAACCTATATGTTCATGTTGACTAATGTCGCCCCAATCAGTCCTATATAACAAAAGCATAACATGCAAATCGACCGGACAGCTGAACAGCGGAACGACCATCCAGACAACCATCCGGGACCACGCTATGACACCCACTGGCACCAGGCCAGCCAAGGAGGGTGCGATGTGATTGGTCGGGGGCCCAGCCATCGCCCATGATCACCCCGCAGAGGGAGGCTCGGGCCACTGGCCAGCGGGGCGATCAATCGGGGGGCTCCACGATCACCCCAAAGAGGGAGGCCCAGGCCACCCACCGGTGGGCTGCAATGGGTGGCGGGTGGGCAGAGCCTCCCTCTGCGAGGGAAGCCTGCGTCCCGGGTGTCAGAGGGAAGCCAGTGCCGGCAACCAGGGGAAGGAAGGCCTACTCTTGCACGACTTTCATGCATTGGGCCTCTAGTCTATATATATAAAAGGCTAAGCGACCCTCCAACCGCCAGACCGGTAGCTATGATGCACAATGACCACCAGGGGGCAGACACTCAACGCAGGAGCTGCAGAGAACCTGAGAACCACCCTCTCGCTATCCAGGACCCCTTGGGGGATGTTGGAGAGCCAGTTTCAGCCCAATCCCCGCAGGTTAGGACGAGGGACCCCACCGGTGCACAAATCCGTGCACCAGGCCTCTAGTTTAATAATTAAAAGAAAGAACCTCCCATGGCTCCCCATTGCCCTTGGGACAAACTCTTAACACCGGAGACTCAATACCAGGCTCTAACTGCATGTCCGGCCTCTTTCCTTCTATAATCTCTGATGCAATCAGCGGCCCCTTCTCACTCCCCTGCCCTTGCTCAGCCCCCCAGCCCAAGCCCGGCCACCCCATCCTCTCACACGCCTTCTCGCTCAGTGAGGAGACCGCCTGCCTCTCCCAACCGGCCAGAGGGGTGGAGCCTGCTCCGCCTGGCCTGACCCGAGGGACCTGCCCAGGGCCTTCCCACTCGCTGCATATTCAGGCCAGGACAGGACATGCCGGTGGAGGCCAGGGGAGATGCCAGGTGGGTCAGGATGGTGGGGAGCGAGCCACCGCGCTTCTCCTCCCTGCTGCAGGTGGCCAGGCTCGCACGGTGGGGAGGAGCAAATAGGGCCTTTTTACTGTGGGGAAACCAAGGCCCTGAGTGCAGCCAGCACCTGGCCAGAGCCGGGCCCCATCTGCGCTCCTACGTGTCACTGTAAAGTGCCCCCGACTGGTCATCACTGTACAACAGCAGCAATAATGCTGGTCCCACTTGTGGTAATCATGTCCCAGATCTTGTCATTCCACGTCCAGAGCTACTCCTCCACGTCGTACCTGGGCTATGGCCCCAGGAGGCGCGCCCTCTGTCCTCTCTGCCTGGCCAGGCGGGGCCCCCTCGCTCCTCCACACCCAGCTCCACTGGCTTACACCCAGCTCACTGCTCTGGGCCTCGGGTCCTCCCCTGCAACATGGAGGGGGCGCTGAGGCACCCCCCACAGTGCACGGGGGACCTGGGACTCCTGGCTGTGCAGGTGCCACCCCCAGGGCGGCCCCGAGGGACTTCTGGGCATGGCCAGGTGTGTGCACTGGGCAGGGATGGCCCCTGGGAGGGAGATAGGTTATCATTTTGTTTGCGACTAAATGAGAACTAAATACCGGTCTGGAAACTCGATAATAAAAAGAAAAAAACACCTCGGGTTCTAAATTTCAATTTTGTTAAACGATTTTGGACACAGCGCACTGACAAGCCGGGTAGCCCTCGGCCTGGGTCTGTCCAGGCGGCCCACACGCCGGGGTCTCAGGCCGAATGGGAGCGCATGTCAGTCCCGCGCTGCCAGCCTGCTCTCTGCCCACCCTGCCTGCTGCTCGCCTCCCGGGCACCCTGGTGGCTGCTGTGTTAGGTTTGAGATTTAAGATGAAGAGTTGTTTAAGGTGAATACCCCGTGGTGTGGGGGGCAGAGGGCAGAGTGGGATCCCCGACCTGCCCAAGTCAAGGGTCCAAACTACGCAGCACCTCTCTCTCCACCTGTACACACACCTCCAGGCCTTTGCACATTCTATCTAGTCCCTCCACATTCTTCTGCAGCCAAACTTCTACTCCTTCGTCAAGGCCCAGGTGAACGGGCCCACCCTCTGGGAGCTGCTCAGCCCGTCGGAGGCAGGCTTTGTGGGCTCCGTGGCCCCTGCACAGCCTTGTAACCAACTGCTTCTAGGCCCCCCACTAGCCACCTAGACAGCCCAAGGGGATCAGTCCCCGAGGGTCAGCCCCGCTGAGAGCTGCTGGACTCAGGCAATGGCCTGTCAGCCCCAGGCTGGAGCCCCAGGGTGCTCTGAGCTGTGGCTCCGGCCTCCAGGCGCCCAGCCCCTGACGCAGGCCCAGCCCCAGCCCCCAGGCTTGTGTACAGCCCAGAGCGAGTCCGTCCCACCACAGAACTGAGGCCAAAATGCTGAGGCTCTGACCATGGTGAGCAATGGCCCCGAACCCAAGACAAGGCCACCTGTGGGCCATCGGCAAGCACTGCTCCAGGTGCCGAGGCCGCTCGCGTGTGGGCTGCAGGCACACCTGTTCGCGTCCCTGGGATGGGAGGGGGCTCGTGGACAGGGCTCCTGCCTGTCTGACCTGCAGCTGCCGAGGCCACACCCTCCCTGGAGCAGCGGCCGCGGTGACTTCCCGGCGTCCTGCCCCTCTCGGTGATGGTTCCGGCCCTGGGCTTGGCTATGGTGCACGGAGCAGTGTCAGCCAAGCAGCAGAGGGAGGACGCCAGCGCCAGGCGGCGAGGAGCCGGGGAAGAGGCCTGGGCTCAGGCCTGAGGCGCTGGCAGAGGCAGAGCTGCGGAGCTGCGTGCGGGAGGCGCCAGGGTCCTCTCCTCCAGGTGAGGGCAGACGAGGGTGTGGTGGGTGGAAAAGATCTCAACCTCCAATGGCCACAACTTTGAACATTTTGGTGTTTGAAGGTTATCCTGTTACCTGGAAAGTTACTCAAAACAAAGCATTCTTGCCCTGGCCGGTGTGGCTCAGAAAGGTTGTGGCTAGATTCCTGGTCAGGGCACAGGCCGGGGTCGCAGGTGCAATCCACGGTAGGGCGCCTGCAGGAGGCAGCCAAGTGATGCTTCTCTCTCATCATTGATGTTTCCTCTCTCTCTCTCTCCTTCTCTCTCCCTCTCACTTCCTCTTTCTCTCTCTGAAGAAAAAAATCAATAAAAATATTTTAAAAACAACAACAAAAAACATTCTCTGAGCATATAGGAGGGTCAGGGAGTGGAGAACAGGAGATGAGATGTGGGAAAAGGGCAAGAGACCCAGGAATTCTAGAACCTTCCAACCTGAAAATTCAAGAATCCTCAATGCGTGGTGCTCAGTGAAGGGCAGGTCTCGTCCTTTCTCCCACCCGTCCCAGAGTCCTGTCCCTGTGAGGAGAGCAGGCCAGAGGGGGCCTGCCTGCAGCCAGGGGCCCCTGCTGGGCCAGTCCAGGCCTGGCCAGTGACCACACCGACTGAGGCCCGGCCAGGCCACGTCCATCTGCTGACCCAAGGACTCCGCACCTGGGCGTCTCCCGCCCAGCCCGCCTGTCCCCCGGGCTCCCAGGCCTCACCGCGGACTCTCGCCAGGAACCCTTTCCCCTCTTTTCTGCCTGGCCTTGGCCTTAGCCATCCTTCAAGGCTCCTGAGAAGCCGTCACTGGGGGCTGCCCTCTGTGGGCTCGCCAGAGCTCCCCCCCCCCCCCCCCCCCCCCGGCCCAGGGAGCTGTGGGTATGCAGAGGACCAACCGCCTCTGGGAACCAGGACCCCGGACTGGAGGGGGCTGAGCCCTCCCGAGCAGCAGGGAAGGGCAGCCCGAGGGGCTCTGAGCCTGGCGCAGAGCTGGTCCAGGACGGTGGGCAGTGCCTGGGGTGCGTGTGCACGTGTCCTGGCCCGCGGGTGCCAGGCGTCTGTCCGTTGTGCGCATCCCTCTCTGAGCAGCTGTGGCTGCGTTTGTCTCTGTGTGTGACCCCCACACCCACCTACCCAGCGGGGGCAGTTGGGAAAGCCACAAGGAGCAGGTCAGGCCTGATGCGAGCGGCCAGGCCTGCCCGGCGGGTTTTTCTGGCTCGGTGGCGGCGGCAGCAGAGGTGACAGTGGCAGCCCGGAGG